ACGCGGCTGGCAGTTTGCAACTGACTGGCAGAGACCCGGTGCTGGATGCCAGGCCAACTTGCGCGATTAGCGCGGTCGGCTTAAGTACGGACAATATGTGCCTGCCAGCAGAAGATCAAGGCGAGTCTAAGCCCGGAGCAGCAGCTTCTGGTTGAGGTCCGAGATGAGAAGGGACTCTCATTTTGGCTTACGGTAGTGCCCAGGTTCCAGGACGGAACAGTTCTGAAGAAGACTGACTTCAGGGATGCACTCTGCATTCAATACGGCCGCCGTTTGGTGGGTCTTCCGGATACATGTGTTTGCGGTGCAGAACCCACTGCACGGCATGCGCTCACCCACACAACTGGTGGCTATATGATAGCGCGCCATAATGAGGTGCGCGATTTGATCGCGCATCTGGTCCGAGAGGCCGGGACAGTGGACTGGTGGCTATATGATAGCGCGCCATAGTGAGGTGTGCGATTCGATCACGCATCTGCTCCAAAAGGCCGGGACGGTGGACGTCGACACAGAGCCGAGATTGTTGCATTGTGCCGGCAGGGATATCCCGGTAGGGCGATCCGTCAACAGGTGTGCCGAAGGTCCTTAGCCTCGCTGTTCTTGGAGCGGAACAGTGGACTGAACTATTCAGTGGTGATGTGCTTGTTGCGCACAAGATTGTCATTTTGTTTGTTTAGATGGGCCGTCACTTGCTTCAGAGGATGCCGCCCATCATACGGCGACAGGCCGCGGTTGAACTTGTTTGTTGCCCAGTATCGCCAGGCTGAGTAGGCACTTGTCCTTGGCCGGGACATTATGTACATGGTGTTATTCCTATTCTATTCTACTCCAATACCTACCACAGGATGTATGGATTCAATACCTACCAGTTCAACATAATATCATCAATGTTTAGGCTGTTCTGTTCAATCATTCACAAATTGGTTTTGAGAAGAGTTTGAGTTGATTTCCCTTATCACCACCTGGTCAAAACAATAAGACCAATGCTTTATTGCTTTTTTGTTCTCTTGTTTATTTGATTTGATTTCCCCAATCACTTTAGTTTGATGATATGCATGTTGACATGCCCGTACAAGTGGCTTTTTCCTATGGAGCTGGCAGTGATTGTTGCAATGATGTCATCATGATGACGACATCAACACTGAAATTCAAGAGCTGTATTGACCTACTTCATCCTGCTGTCTTGTGGATGGCGAGCAAAACTCTGATGCATGTGTTTACTGTGTCATGAACCGCGTTTTTTTGTTTTGCTTATTATGTAAGTACTTCAAAGCTTAGAAACTGCTGAATATGTAAATAATTTGGTTGTGTCACTTGTATATGATTTTGGTCGCTCTTTGCTATTCTTTGCTGCTGCGCCGCTTGAGACAGACATGTAAATAGTTTGGTTGTCTTTTCACTTGTATTTAATTAATAGTCATTGCTGCTTAGAAGTTGCGACTTCGGCGGTAATAGTCATGAAGTTGATTGTTCCAACTAGGAACACACGCTTCTTGCCGAACTTGACACTTGAACTTGTCGCGCTGGAAACAAAGCGTCTCTGTAAGTTTGTATCCCTGGTGATGGTTTGGCCTGGAGAGCAGTATATAAGTGGTGCTTTTCAGGCACAATCTTCCTCAGCCTACTCAAGCTCAACTGATGAGGGGTGAATTCCCCGAAACACCGTGTATTGAGCAGGGTGTGGTGCTTTCTTGCAGGTTTGCCGAGTGGAAGGTGCGACGTGTTCCTCGTGTGCTCCGGATGGCAGTCGTGAGTCAGTCAAGTGTCAAGTTCGGCAAGAAGCGTGTGTTCCTAGTTGGAACAATCAACTTCATGACTATTACCGCCGAAGTCGCAACTTCTAAGTTCGTATTGTTGTCCCTCACGCGGACGTGCGACTAGTTGTTGGAGGTGACAGCGTTGCGAATAGCTATACTGGCTCTCAACGTCTGTTTATCACAACTCCATGAGCGACTCTGACTCACGCTGCTACCTGGAGCTTCACGAGGTGTTTGTCGCGCTGGAAACAAAGCGTCTCTGTAAGTTTGTATCCCTGGTGATGGTTTGGCCTGGAGAGCAGTATATAAGTGGTGCTTTTCAGGCACAATCTTCCTCAGCCTACTCAAGCTCAACTGATGAGGGGTGAATTCCCCGAAACACCGTGTATTGAGCAGGGAGTGGTGCTTTCTTGCAGGTTTGCCGAGTGGAAGGTGCGACGTGTTCCTCGTGTGCTCCGGATGGCAGTCGTGAGTCAGTCAAGTGTCAAGTTCGGCAAGAAGCGTGTGTTCCTAGTTGGAACAATCAACTTCAGTCATTGCTGCTGTATTCTAATTGCTGCTGCGCTTGAGTACATGGCACAGCCAATGTACTTTTCATTTTTTGTAGCACCAACACTAAATTTGTATCAGGGACTGAGCGCCACATTACACAACTCGAAGTTTGACAGCCATGCCACAGACTCGCCGCGATGAAAATCAATTTGATTGCATTTGTACAGTTGCTCGCACTGACCTTGCAAGTCCACCTAAATTTTAAATTTTGCTTTTTATTTTTCAATATATTCAGCTGATTGATGTTTTATTGCCACCTGGGAGTCGTACCCTCCCTGACTCACTGCCACCATCTGGAGTCTAAAACGGACTCTGTATGCAGAAACCCACAATACTCTAGAATGACTGGGTTAGAGTACATGTACAATTTCCATATGCAGCGGAAGAGCGCCATATCTAACAAACGGACAACTGTACGGACTTGCCGATACTGTTATCGTCTTCAGCAGCCACAACTTAGTCAGAAACAGATCTAAAAAAATTGTGAGCTCCTAATGGTTACGAGTTTCTAGAAAATACCACCTCTGACCGTAGACTATCAGTCCGCGGAGTTGGCAAGTCACGAAGTGCCAAGTACGAGAGCGACGTAAATTATACGAAGGTTGCACGTTGCTAGCAGTATGCAGCGAGAGTATATGTGGTGGGGCATAATTGTTGTTGTTGTTGTTGTTGTTGTTGTTGTTGTTTTTGTTTCAAATCTTTATTCTCACGATAGCCAGTGGCCAATAAGAGATAATAATGTAAGAAAGGAGAAAGAGTGAGGAAGAATTGGGTGGGCAGGGCCTAGGGGCTAATGACTACTTAAGTGTACGGGCAGGGGTGGTCGCCACACGAGCATACAGAGTTGTGTACTTAAGTGTACGGGCAGGGGTGGTCGCTACACGAGCATACAGAGTTGCGCAACAGCAGGGATATTTCGGATTTGAAGGGAGTACGAGAAGGGATTTCGCGAAGCTGGGTGGGCAAGCAATTAAGTAATGAAGGGCCTTGTACAGGGGAGAATGGAGACAGCGGTCAGTCCGCGGAGTTGGCAAGTGCCAAGTACGAGAGCGACGTAAATTATACGAAGGTTGCACGTTGCTAGCAGCATGCAGCGAGAGTATATGTGGTGGGGCATAATTGTGGCGCAGAGAATGCGCGAAGAGTATATGTTTAACTTTAAAGCGTGAAAATAATGTTGGCCATTTGATGCGATGCAAAAGGTGGGAGTGTTCTAAGTGTGTGTAAAGGGGAAGGTGGAGAAATATTCTGGCGGCTTTCCGCTGGAGTGGTTCTAGCCTGTCAAGGGAAGTGTGTGACAACGGTGTGAGAGCATTGCTCGCATATGAGAATATAGGTAGTATGTATGTCTGATAGATGTGAGATAAAGAATCACTGGTGAGTGTAGACCTTAGTCTAAAAAGAATTTTGAAAGACTTGAGTGATTTTGGACTATTTATTCAACATGCTCCGTCCAACGGAGGTCATGCTGAAAGATTATTCCGAGGTGTTTGTGTTTTTGTGCTACGGTACGCGGACTATTCCTGAGGGTGATCTGGGGTAACTGTTCAGGGGGGGGGGGGGGGCGGTTATTGTGGTAGAACGGGAGGATGACTGTTTTCTTTGTGTTGATTGATGGATTTTATTTTACTTCGCAAGTTCAAACGGGTTCCTGGCCCAGTTATATGAAAGCGAAGGATAGAATTTGCCAAAATCCTAATGAGCAACAGCATAGGCAATATTATCATAGAAGTGGAGTACTATGCGAGCGAGAATACTGAGAAGAAAGAAACATGTCAAAACCTGACGAAACACAACCTATTTCAGGCATACATAAGGAAGGCAGGCTAGCTTAAAATCTTGCAATCTGGATACGGTGCGCACCTCTCTAGGCAAACTGTTCCACAGCAATGCTCCTGCGGTGGCGAATCTCGTTTGGCCACACCGACTGCGAGCTGGCTGGCTGAGCAGACCATTGGCATGCTGATGGCGCGTACTTCTGCCGCTGCATGCTGCTGGTTTGAGAAGCTGGGCTAGAGCAAGGCTAGTGGAGTCATTTAGACAACGCCAGATGAAGATCAGGAGCTTTTGTTTGAAAAGTTCAGTGACGCGGTAAATCGAGTTGGCAGCCAGGAGGGGCTGCATCGCGGAACATGGCGGGCTGCCATCAATGCATCGGATTGCCCGGTTTTGCATGGCTTGCAGACGCTGAAGTTGGGTCACGCGGAGGGCTGCAGAGAAGCTGCAGGCACCATATATCATATCCGGCATGACAATAGCCTTTACATATACCTTGCGCGAGCTGCGGGAGAGGCATCGACGGGCTCTCCACAAGGCGCCTATCTTCCTCGCAACTTTGGTCACTATGGCGCTGACGTGTACATCCCAACTCAGGCGGTTGTCAAGAAAGTGTTAAAGGGGAAGTCCGGTTAAATTTCAGGGTCGGTAGAGTTTCGGGCGCTGAGTCGAATGGTGTTGGTCCCACGTGTCTCCGACAAAGCGTTCTCGAGATATTTCCGTTTGAAAAACTGAGTTTCGGGGGCTGCGCCATGACGTCATGCGGCCGCGCCACACCCTCCGCAACGTCATAGCGTGCAGCTAGGTCAAAAGGAGTGCGTGAAAGCAATAGTGTCAGTGCTATTTCAAATGATTTGGCGACTGATATTAGGTGGTGCAAGCGACCCCAAGACCTAACTCCTTGTGAGAGTGAGGATGCAGCCATGGCTGACCTTCATGGGTTTGGTCGGGGGGTATTGTAGGGCTGAGAACCTCGGTATCCAGCTGAAGAAATGGCCGCGCGGGACGGTCAAGAGTGAGCGCTACTGAGTTTCCGACTGATGAAGAAGCAGTAGCTATTGCAGACGAGGCTGATATAATTATCAGATCGCTGAAGAGCAGGGTCGCCAAAATGGAGAAGAGTGATGCGAGTGCTCTAAATGTTGTTCCATACCGATTCGCTTAGACTCCAGTAGCCTGCCACATGGTGATGTTTTGGTGCGAACTTGGCATATTTCGGACTACTCAATTGGAGAACAGTGCAGGCTCTTTGAACCATGGCCCGGGCACGACTCTTCGCTCGCAACGCTATGGAATCTGAAAGTTCTAGGTCCGGGAGCTGTTCGCTGTTTTGTCACTTGTCACGGTTGTGCACTCATCGCTGTAGCATAAAATAATGAGGCCGGACTGGAGGGGAAAACTAAAATTTTCTTTCTCAAAGCACAACCACCGGCACCGGCAAGGAGAAACGCACGTTCTCTGACTGCATGACTGTACGAGTGTAGTACTACAGTACATGACACGTCCGTGTGTTGACTAGTTTTCTGAGTCTTGTTGCAGCGAGCTAGCCCAGCACGGCAGTGCGGGACTAGTTCCGTGTGTGATGAGTCTAGTTTGTTGACTGCACTACACGTCTACAGCTAGCATGCACGCAGCGCATTGCTAGAGCCGTAGAGCTAGAGGCATGCTGACGGAAAAAGTCCAACTCGGAAACGGCTAAAATACGGTATAACCTCGAGGTAGCACCCACTACTGAACACTACGAGGTGATTCGTCACTATTTAACACGAAAGTAAAAAAGCCTTCCGTAGGGTTCGAGGTGCGAATCTTTCCATTTCTTCCTCCAAAAATGTAATACTGATGTCCTTAGATTGTGGTCTATCGTCGAAAGTCAAACGTGAAGCGCTCTGTCGTGATTTGGCCAAGTACAAAATTGATGTTTGTGCCGTGCAGGAAACTAAAATTTGTGAAACGAGGCAAGAGTATTGTGGTGGCTATGTTCTTTACACGCTGTCGCCAACCTGTCGTCATTATGGTCTGGCATTTGCAGTAAGAAGCAGCTTGGAGCCGAGAGTCGAGAGAGTTTGGAGCGTTTCTGACCGAGTCGCTGGAATTTCGTTACAATTGGGAAAAAATCGACATTGAGTATCCTGAATGTGTATGCCCCGACGTCAGCTCGCTGCAGAGGCAACAACTTTGAATTGGATGAATTCTACGATACCTTGACCAGAGCTATACATGACGTGGACTCGAGTTCCCTCTTCTTTGTTGTTGGAGACTTCAACGCGAAAGCTGGAACGAAGCAGCAGGACGAATCATGTATTGGCAGCCATGGGCGTGGAATCAGAAACGTCAGCGGAGAGACGCTAGTGCAGTTCTGTGAAATTAACAGATTATTCTTATCAAACACAGCGTTCTGCCACTCTGCAAGGCACAGGACCACATGGACAGGACAGCGACTTGACAGAGCCAGTGGCAAGATTGTCAACATTTACAACCAAATTGATTATATTCTGTGCCGTCAATCGCAAAAGAGACTATTCACCAACGCCAGAAGTTACAATGGAACGGAAGTCACATCAGATCATAGGATTGTGGTGGCTCGCACGCTTTTACCTCGAGTATTCGGCATATGGGGTCGGGCGGCGCGGAGCAGCCAGAAGAAGGTGGATCGCCTAGCAGTGCATCGTTTACCCGGGAATCCACAACTGCAGAATCAGCTAACATTTGCCATCTCAGACAGAATTCAGAGGGTGTCAGAAGATCAGCCCAACACCGGATGGGATGCAATAGCTGCAGAGATCTTCCACGCGGGCAAAGAGATTGTGGGTGTGACAGCCAAGACCAGTCATCGTCACCATGACCCAGAGATCGAGAGACTTTCCTGCATGCAGAGAGATGTCCGACTCCGTATTCAGGGCAGTGATGACCCAATCGAGCGAGAAATGTTGAGGACTGACCGGAATCGAATCCTGCATGATATCAGGAACAGATCCATCACAAACAGAGAAAATGAACTAATATCGCGAGCAGAGAAGATAGAGAGGCTCAAGGATGGAGCCCAGATGTTCCAGGCTGTACACTTGCTCCGGCGAAAGCCATCGCAGAAAGTCGTCGTTAAGGACAGCCAGGGCAAGATCATATGTAATGATAAGCAAGCAAGCTTGGAGATTAAGAATCATTTCTCATCGCAGCTCAGTGACTCTGCAATTCAGCAATTTGGATCCTTCACTGGGGAACCTCGACCGCTGCAGCATCCCGTTTCAACGGAGGAAGTGAAAACAGCACTAGCAAGACTCAACAACGGTAGAGCTGCAGGACCCGACAACATCCCGGGTGAGCTATTGAAGTACTCAGCCGATGCCACTGCTCCCGTCATAAGCCGATGCATCAACAGCCTATTTCAGCAACACCGGGTAGAGCCATTCATCGGTCATGGCACACTAATACCTCTCCAGAAGCCCGGAAAGCCGGTGGGTGCTTTAACCAGTCTGCGACCGATCATCCTCCTGACAACTCTACGCAAAGTCATGTCGCTGGTAGTCCTCAAGCGCATCTCGCCAGCCGTAAACGATTTCCTATCACTGAACCAAAGTGGTTTTCGTGCAGGAAGGTCAACAGCTGATGTGGTCTGGTGCCATCGGTGGTTAGCAGCTACGACCCAGCGGTACCACTGGTCATTCAGCATACTGGGCATCGACATGTCACGTGCCTTTGACACGATCAGGCGAGGACAGTTGATGGACGTGGTTCAGCGATTCTTGGAAGAAGACGAGATACGCTTGATCCGTTACCTGATCTCAGATACGAATTTGGCAGTCAGACTGGGCACGGAAACATCAAGCTCTTTCTCCACTAACATTGGTACCCCGCAAGGCGACTCCTTGTCGCCAATTCTATTCGTGATCTACCTGGAAGCTGCCCTGCAGGATGTGCGACAGCGAATGGCTGCACCTGTGGCCCGGCATCTTCCGTACGATGTGGAGTACGCCGATGATGTGGACTTCATCAGTATCTCTAGTGATTGGCTTCGGATGTTAGAGCCACAGGTTGCCACCATCCTGGGTACATGGTCCCTTACCGTCAACCAGACCAAGACAGAATTCACAGCCATCCAGCGAGAGGCCGATCGTGCTGATGAGCCATGGCGTATGGTCAAGAAACTCGGCTCTCTCCTTGGTGATGCAGAGGATGTCACCCGCAGAAAGCAGCTTGCGGCGATAGCGTTTAAGTCCCTCTGCCAGTTATGGAAGAGAAGAGACCAAGTGAGTCTGGAGGTGCGCGTCCGGCTGTATAACTGCTTCGTGTTACCTGTCTTGCTTTACAACTGCTCCACATGGGGCATCACTCGACAGACAATTGAAGCGCTGGAATCGTATCATCGGCGGCAACTTCGGCATATCTTGGGTATCAGGTGGCCCAACCGACTGTCGAACGATTTGGTTTACGAGCGCTGCAGTGCTGCTCCACTTGGCAACATTCTGGTGAATGCAAGGTGGCGGCTGTTTGGCCACATCCTGCGATCAGATGAGCACACACCGGCTAGGGAGGCCATGAGTGGATTCTTTGGCTGCTCCGTGCCGGGATACCGTGGGCGGCCGCGGATCACGCTACCGGTCCTGCTGAATCAAGACGCGGAGCGAGTCGGCTGCCGTCTGAGGACTCCAAGGGACTTGCAGCTGATGGCTCAGCGAGCACTGGATCGCCGTGAATGGACATATCTGTGCAACGCAGTTACAGATGCGTACAAGGCAGAGTACTGGTGAAGGAAGTTGGCACTGCAATGGTTTGAGCTACATTCTTTGTTGTTGGTACTCTGATTATCCGTATTATCCGTATTCACATGGCCTTTGCCATTCATTCAGTATATTAATGTCATCAATAATGATATTACGAAGTAGTGGTTGCGACTTCGGCGATGATCTGTAAGAAAGGGTTTGCTCCCCACACCGGAGCTCGCGCTATTCCGCCGACTATCTGGTGTTCACGAGGTGTTTGTCGCGCTGGAAATAGAGCGTCTCTGTAAGTTTGTATCCCTGGTGGTGTTTGTGCCTGGAGAGCACTATATAAGTGGTGCTCTTCAGGCACAATCTTCCTCAGCCTACTCAAGCTCAACTGATGAGGGGTGAATTCCCCGAAACACTGTGTATTGAGCAGGGAGTGGTGCTTTCTTGCAGGTTTGCCGAGTCGAAGGTTCGATGGACTTCTCGTGTGCTCTGGATGGCAGTCGTGAGTCAGTCAAGTGTCAAGTAAAGTCGGCGGAATAGCGCGAGCTCCGGTGTGGGGAGCAAACCCTTTCTTAATAATGATATTCTTGTTTGTATTAGTTTATGTGACACCATTTTCTATTTTTCTTTGCCTGCCTGCCTGCTGGTGGCCTTTTTTCGCATGGTTCGGTGCAAGCGAATTTGGGCGAGCCCATTGACGCGGGAGCACAAATAATAATAATAATAATAATTAGATTGCAATGGTGGGTTGTTCATGCACATAATCCTTGGTGTTGGGAAGCAGGGGGCAGTTGAAAAATGGGAATTTTCCGCATATTATTTGTTGTGGTCATTTCTTAACATCATGGTAAAATAGGCCTTAGCAGTACAATTTCAAGTCAGTTTTCAATAGAAAGAGACCCTACGTATCCAGGATGGTCCAGCAAGACTGGATCAAGATCATGTTGATCCAAATACAAGCCATTCACGCTTGCATAGCAGTAGGTGTATCACCCTGATTTCATATGCAATTGTGATCAACATCTGTTAGTAAATTCAGTAATTGCCAATGTTTGGCCATTACCAGGGCCAACACACCCCATTCCTCCTTCCCAGGCGTCGTTTCCAGTATGTATCTATCATATGCTTCCTTTTCAGCTAAATTATATTGTCACTGGAGGTTGAAACCAGCGGCTATGACTCTCTTATACTCTATTTTACCGTAAACATCGCACATGCAGACTGAAAGCTCTTGCAATGTCACTTCCTGAAGGAATATCAGTCTCAATTTTGGAGGCGAACTTGACAGAACATTGACAATGGCAATGGCAAAAAGAAATTTGAGGTGACTTTTTGCAGGCGCTGGCAATGAGATATTTTACCGATTTGTTAAGAAATGACGCAATGTTAAAAAATTACGAATCACCTCGTACAGGAATCTTTGAACGTTTGCACAGTACCAGTCATGTGCTGTTTACCGCCTCCCCGTTGTTGTATTCTAACGTTAACGTTATTCATTGACTGAGGGCCTATCCACACTATGTAATAAAAACGGCGTGCCGTTTCAGAGTACGTGACGTACACGCGATGCTCTGTCCACACTGCACTCTGTCACCAGTGTAACTACAGTGCATTTCAAAACTATAGACGCGTAGGGTTTTTGAAATATTTCAAATTTGGCTGGAACTTTTTGAGAATAGTTTTCGGAATATTGCTCAGGATCGCTCCACAATTACTCTCATATAGTTTCTAAAGGATTGGATAACAGACGCCCAATTTGGAAAAATTTATGCACAAAGTGATCACAGATTTTATGTGGTATAGATGCTGGCATAACGGTTTTTGCCTAGGTACGCGTCTATAGTTTTGAAATGGACTGTAGGTCTACGTCGTGTACCTGTTCATATTTTCTCTATTGCACAATGTTTGTAGCGCGTAGACCAGGAAAGGACTCCCTGGCTTGGTCTAGACCTACCCACTAACCCAGCTAGCTACAAAACAAGTGGCGGCCCAGCGATGGCAGCACGGACGCCGAGCTCAAGGAATATCACCCTGAACTCTGTTCCAGGTGCGGAAATTTGGCAACCGTGTGACTCTCGCGGCAGCGCAGCGCCAAGGTCGAGGCCGGCTGTAGCATCGCTTGACGAACCAGTGTTGGTGGCCGCCGTGTATTTCCAGTAAAACTCCCTGGCTTTGGCCTTCATGTTGTCAATTTTGGTCACAAGAGGGTTCTGCTTCCTCTCCAAACAATTCTTTCAAATCAGTGCTAGATCAAATTTTCAGTGAATTCTCCGAGTCTCGCTACTACACCTTCCTCTTCATCAGACCCCCGGGATTTCTCTGCATGTCCAGCCATGACTGTATCAATGTCGCCTCCGAGTGGTCGCTGAAACGGACGGGTGGCAACTCCAAAGCGAAAACAAACGGCAGCTGGAAACAGCAAGAAAAAACTGCGATCCACAAACTCCATCGAGGCTCACACAACAAACACTGCGAAAACGGCACGTAGATGAGAAACGTGCTTTGTACGGGGGTCCGCGACTCACGTTCCGCGTGAATCCCACGTTCCCCGTTTTCGGCCATTTTTCGTCACTCACCTTGGCAACAAGCATGTTTACGGCGTGTTTACGTGGTTTTCTACCTAGTCTGGACAGGCCCTGAGCGTTCTTTGCTTTGTACTACACCCTGCTATCGTGTTAGGCTGTTTCCTACAATATTTTACTGTTTCCATTCGCTTCCATGTGGGTGACACCGCCCGTTTGGTTCTGCGAATTCAAATAAAAATGTACCTACCTACCTACCTAGGTTTACCGAGCTGAAAATCATAGGGTACGTAGCGTTTGTAACACTGAATCGAATGGTCTTGGTCCGAAGAAGCTGCGACAAACGGTTCCCCAATCGAACGCGCTCCGAATATGGCCGTTTTGTACACAACTAGATGGTGTGGCTACCTGGCTGCACGCTGTGACGTCATCACCTGGATCTGGGTGAGGCGCGCTCAAATTCGCACATGTTCGATTGGGCGTATCTGACGAACCATAGGCCGCAGCCTCCTCGGACAAAGACCATTCGACTCAACGCCCCGAACTCTACGGACTGTGAAATTTAAATTTTTCACCGGACTTCCCCTTTAACCAGCAGGTGCCATCTTTGAAGCCAGTCTCCAGCTGCTGTGACACTCTGTTAGTTTCGGGTGCAGTTGTAGCGTTGGCACGCTAGTAACTCACACAGCTGCAGCGTGAATCACTTTCAATGTATTGGTCACGCGTGTTACACCGCACCCGTACCCCGCACTTGCAACTCTGTACCGTGCTTGCAGATCCATGACATGGATAGCAACTAGTCTCACTGCGTTCAATGTTTCATATTGACCATAGAAATACTGCTGCACTTTCAACCGCCTCTTTTACGCCCATTGCCCACACTGCTATTCAGCTCCTTCTTCTGCACAGAATCAAATGGCACTCCTTGTGCAATGACTGTAGCCCACACAACATACTTTGACCTTTCTTCTTCTCTCTCTGCTGAGCCTTTGCCGTGACCATTGCTGTTGCAGCACGTATGCTGTCTGCCTATAAAAGCTGCTGTTCACAATTCTCTTCATGTCAGTTTAGAGTTAGAGTCAGAGTTAATGTTTAATAATTATTAACAGTGTGTTCACTGAGACCCGTCTGCATTTGCCTCCGAGAGAGACTGCGGCCCGTTACAGAATTGGTGGCAGCGGTGGTTCAATTTTATAATTGCTAGATTCGAACCCACCTAGTATCTGTATTGCATTGATGGCAGCGGCGCTACAGAATTGATGGCAGTGGTAAATTGTTTTATTGGTGTAACCGGTACCAGCATGGCCCAACCTGATCCGCCAGTCGCCGCTACTCCTTCGCCCGCCACGTCTCCCCCAAGCCCGAAATGATGACGGACAGCGTCTCTACCGATCAAGCTCCATGTCCAATGTAAGCTAATTCCCGATATGGCATTTTCTTTCCTGTCTTCCTTCAGTCTTCCTGTTCTCTTCAGTCTTCCTTTATGCGAGTGCGTGAATCCAGTTTAGTTAGGTAGGCGTCCGATCATGGTGAGCCACGGTCTATCTAGCTAACCTGGGACGATGTGTGTGACAATGCCCCTTATAATGTATTCAGTTCGGTTTTTGAACTGCGATTGTGCTGGCAGGTTGTGCCAGGGTTGGGCAGCAAGAGTGCTGTGGTTTTCAAGTCCCATTTGGAGGACGGTTCTTTCCCCTTTTGACCCCGTGAGATCGTGTGAGCCTGGTGTGCTGCTACTTTATGATTTTATCAGTTCATTTCTTCTGTCGATCTACTCCAAACGTTATCATTTCCGATATTATTTTGTCATATTCCGGTTGACGCTGTACCAGTATGATGCGCTATCTCCTATAATGTTCAATGATTATGTTCGCACCACCTCTCAGTCCTGTGATCTGCTGCTGCGCTCCAGCCAGTACTTCAATGTCAGTTGTCCTCATTGCGTCCGGTTATCAACGGAGGCTGTTCACGAATACATACCTGTATATGCAAGTCATCCATTCTGCCTATCTTCTTCCGTCGAGGTTATTCCGACGCGACCATGCATGCCTCCAGTGTCTTCTAATCTCAGTCGATTGTCGGAGTCCGGCTATCAACTAATCTATTATCTTACTCGCCCAGTCTAGTCTGGGCATCTCCGTGATCTTCTATCAGTGTTCGTCACTTCGTGTTCTGCTACTCGGACTCTAATCACGAGGACGTGATTGTGTTTAAAGAAGGAAGGTGTAGCGTTGGCACGCTAGTAACTCACACAGCTGCAGCGTGAATCACTTTCAATGTATTGGTCACGCGTGTTACACCGCACCCGTACCCCGCACTTGCAACTCTGTACCGTGCTTGCAGATCCATGACATGGATAGCAACTAGTCTCACTGCCTTCAATGTTTCATATTGACCATAGAAATACTGCTGCACTTTCAACCGCCTCTTTTACGCCCATTGCCCACACTGCTATTCAGCTCCTTCTTCTGCACAGAATCAAATGGCACTCCTTGTGCAATGACTGTAGCCCACACAACATACTTTGACCTTTCTTCTTCTCTCTCTGCTGAGCCTTTGCCGTGACCATTGCTGTTGCAGCACGTATGCTGTCTGCCTATAAAAGCTGCTGTTCACAATTCTCTTCATGTCAGTTTAGAGTTAGAGTCAGAGTTAATGTTTAATAATTATTAACAGTGTGTTCACTGAGACCCGTCTGCATTTGCCTCCGAGAGAGACTGCGGCCCGTTACAGAATTGGTGGCAGCGGTGGTTCAATTTTATAATTGCTAGATTCGAACCCACCTAGTATCTGTATTGCATTGATGGCAGCGGCGCTACAGAATTGATGGCAGTGGTAAATTGTTTTATTGGTGTAACCGGTACCAGCATGGCCCAACCTGATCCGCCAGTCGCCGCTACTCCTTCGCCCGCCACGTCTCCCCCAAGCCCGAAATGATGACGGACAGCGTCTCTACCGATCAAGCTCCATGTCCAATGTAAGCTAATTCCCGATATGGCATTTTCTTTCCTGTCTTCCTTCAGTCTTCCTGTTCTCTTCAGTCTTCCTTTATGCGAGTGCGTGAATCCAGTTTAGTTAGGTAGGCGTCCGATCATGGTGAGCCACGGTCTATCTAGCTAACCTGGGACGATGTGTGTGACAATGCCCCTTATAATGTATTCAGTTCGGTTTTTGAACTGCGATTGTGCTGGCAGGTTGTGCCAGGGTTGGGCAGCAAGAGTGCTGTGGTTTTCAAGTCCCATTTGGAGGACGGTTCTTTCCCCTTTTGACCCCGTGAGATCGTGTGAGCCTGGTGTGCTGCTACTTTATGATTTTATCAGTTCATTTCTTCTGTCGATCTACTCCAAACGTTATCATTTCCGATATTATTTTGTCATATTCCGGTTGACGCTGTACCAGTATGATGCGCTATCTCCTATAATGTTCAATGATTATGTTCGCACCACCTCTCAGTCCTGTGATCTGCTGCTGCGCTCCAGCCAGTACTTCAATGTCAGTTGTCCTCATTGCGTCCGGTTATCAACGGAGGCTGTTCACGAATACATACCTGTATATGCAAGTCATCCATTCTGCCTATCTTCTTCCGTCGAGGTTATTCCGACGCGACCATGCATGCCTCCAGTGTCTTCTAATCTCAGTCGATTGTCGGAGTCCGGCTATCAACTAATCTATTATCTTACTCGCCCAGTCTAGTCTGGGCATCTCCGTGATCTTCTATCAGTGTTCGTCACTTCGTGTTCTGCTACTCGGACTCTAATCACGAGGACGTGATTGTGTTTAAAGAAGGAAGGTGTAGCGTTGGCACGCTAGTAACTCACACAGCTGCAGCGTGAATCACTTTCAATGTATTGGTCACGCGTGTTACACCGCACCCGTACCCCGCACTTGCAACTCTGTACCGTGCTTGCAGATCCATGACATGGATAGCAACTAGTCTCACTGCGTTCAATGTTTCATATTGACCATAGAAATACTGCTGCACTTTCAACCGCCTCTTTTACGCCCATTGCCCACACTGCTATTCAGCTCCTTCTTCTGCATAGAATCAAATGGCATTCCTTGTGCAATGACTGTAGCCCACACAACATACTTTGACCTTTCTTCTTCTCTCTCTGCTGAGCCTTTGCCGTGACCATTGCTGTTGCAGCACGTATGCTGTCTGCCTATAAAAGCTGCTGTTCACAATTCTCTTCATGTCAGTTTAGAGTTAGAGTCAGAGTTAATGTTTAATAATTATTAACAGTGTGTTCACTGAGACCCGTCTGCATTTGCCTCCGAGAGAGACTGCGGCCCGTTACACAGTCTTGAAGAGTTCTCGCTGTGGAAATCAGAGCGGTGTCATCTGGAAATTGGCTGCAGGTGGTGCCGGGATTCTCATATGCGTGTGGAAGGTCTATGGTGTAGACGAGGAATAGAAGCGGCCCAAGAACAGATCCCTGAGGGACGCCGGCAGGGATCACGCCAACACAAAACGCAAGATCTCAGCAATGCAAACGAAATTCGGCAACGGATGAATGACATGACCACTGAGTATGGCTCATTATGCTTCTCAGATTGCAAACTCGCAATACGTTTATATAAAGAAGAGGCGGCACGGCTGAAACCTCCGCATGCGGAGAGTACTGCCGGTACAAACGA